GGGCCCCGCCCACTTACGCGTCTTCTTCAGTGATTGCGGACCTGGAAAGCTTCGAAAAAGCCTATTTTCGCTATTTTCATGCGCTGATAAGCCCAGATATGGATTCCTCATGGCGGCATTCCAAGTTCAGTTCTACATTGCATTTTATTCCAGAACAGTAAAGTCAACAAATTTCTGCTTAGTAATGATCTTTCGGGTTGGCTCATTCGAAAATGCTTTGTAATCGCATTTATTCTCTATATATTGTGATGCATTGTTTACCAATCCATAATTGAAACTTTTTACTCGTTGTTCTCATTTTAGGACAATTTTTCTGCTCTTACTGTAGCGAAGATAAGACACTGTTTCTGCCCTAATTATGAATGGTAAGCAAATTCAACAGTGTTATTGTCGGTGTTCCTGTAATTCCTAAATTTTCAGTCAAACTCTGGCGCTTTGCCACACCAACACACTTGGTCAACTGGAATGCTAATTGATATCGTCTATTTATCTTTGGGGAGAAGTTTCGCTCTAGGTGTTTCTAGACTATTTTTACTAGTAATTAGCAATTGCTACTTGGCAGACAATGTGATTTTATTTTCTCTTCAGAGCACTTGTTGATTTTGACCCTCTACTTTCAATGGCGAATTCATGCGCTTAAAATCAAATGAAATGAAATAAATATAGTGAAATAGAATTACCATATGTACGACAACTTAGCCTCTATGAGTCTTATGATGCATTTTCGAAGCATACTCACCGGTGAATAGTATGTTTCTGAAGTTTTGAACCTTCACCAGATTAGGACGAAACTTCAAGTAACTTAGGACTCGTTTCTAGACATTGTCCAGAGTTCGGACAGTCCAGTCAGCATAGTCTGAGGTTGGGACACTGTACAGAATTGCTATGGTAACTATGTCGTAGGCAAGGACTATGCACAAAAATCTGCTCAGATTCTCCAGCTATTATTGCGATTTTTCTGGAAATCCAGTACACTTGCATAGGAAGTAAAGGACGAGAAGAGCCCCAGGCCCATCCAGAATTACATCGAGTTATTGTTTTTGAATTCTTCGCCTTTAACGTTCAGCAAGCTCAAATTTTGCGTATACACTTTTTGGCATGCTGATAACGGATATGTTAAACTCGGAATCGACTATTGACTTCTCACACAATCTTCATGCTTGCGAAAATTCTACCATAGTACTATCTTTGATCCCACGTAAGAGTCTTGCGTAAAAAATTATATTATATTCGAGATCAGAACATGAAAATCCTCAAGAGTTGATGATGTTGATTTCTTATTTGGATCACAGACTTACAAGCACAAATAAGCATCGTGAGCATTGTAAGTATTGTAAGTACAAAATAAATTTTAACCTTTGGTTCAACTGGCATGGCGGCTGGAAGGCGTTGCCTTGTGACCTAATTAGGGCCGCTTGCGCCCACGACGCAGTCTGCGTCTCTGTCGCGCGCGTGTTCTCTGATCATTATCTAGCCTTAAGCAGGTCACGAATCCCCGCCTTCCAGCCGCCAACCCAGTTGAATCAAAGGGTATGTTATCTCCATAATTACCGCATTCGTTAAGCCCTTATGCAAATTTCTGAATACGAAATCCTTCCAAAAAGACTAACATTTCGGATCTTTCAACCGTCGGTGGGTCGTAAATTCTACATGCAAATAAAAGCCTGTACAAACAGAGCCTATGTATTATAAGAAGCATCACTTCAAGTTTAGATACACTCATGACTGATAAACTTACGTATATCTCTGCTGTATTGTAAAACACTCAAAAATCTTACAGAAAAAAGTTTTGAAAATGATAAGAATTCACTCCAAAGAACAATTCTATTATTAGAAAAAAGTGAATGATCTTACCAAGCATGGCTGTAGCAGCCCATAATTAAAATGAAGAAAATGGTGACGAAGCTACAACAACATCAGAACTTTAGACAAAACATACTAAGCTTGCCATTGACGAATCATAGCTAAGAAGAGAGAAAGCGATAAATGACACTTACGACAAAGCAAATCATTCTCGTACTCTCCTTGTACTGCATCTTCTAGCTGTTCTTTATTTTTTGAGAAATGTCTACTACTGATTATTCACTTGAAATATTCGCTATTCACTTTTGATGTACTGGAAGAGAAGTTTTATCGTTAAATTGAGATAACCTTAATGAATTTGCCCGAGCGATGATTGAGGAAGAGCAAGCCCCTCGACGTTATGGTCCATCGTCCAACTAAAGTTATTTTACCTTCCAATCAACTACTTGTAACTCGAACATCCACCAATACTATTTGTTTTCGATGCTTTTCATTTTAGGGCTGTCTAATTCGAAGCACACTAAATGATTTATAGTGCCCCCCATCCTATCGGATTAACTCGGTATTTTTGGAAGATAACAGCTATTTCTAAGTAAAGAACTAACAGTGTAGATAACGCAGTTCGATTCTTACCAGAGAAGGACACATTTCCCCTTCAAAAGAGGAACAAGGACGTCCTACTGAGACCTAGTATGATGAAGGCTGAGAGTAAGCCTGATGTGAAGAGCCAAAGGAAATTCTAAGAAAGTCTCTTGCACATCGGATACCAGTTATGTGTAAGGGAATTCTGTAGTATAGGTCCGAAACTAAATGCGAGTAAAGAAATGACAAACGAACTGAGAACCAAATACATGGACACACACAATTATCACAGTAGTCGTCTTGCAAAAAGATAAATAGCTAAGAAGCTCAGCAAGCTATCCTACAGAACTTGAGGAGCTCAACAAGCTATCCCACAGAAGCTAAGAAACTCAGCAAGTTATCCCACTGCTATCCTAAAAATATGTTGAAATCGGAATTGTTTGTGCCCCCAAAAAGTTGTCATACTTATGCTAGCTCTTGCACGTCATTTTTTGCAAATGTGACCGGAAAAATGTAAAAGAGCGCTAACATCTGAATGTTGCTTCGATTAATCCCACCCGTTCACAGATCGGACGGTGCCTTTAGGCGGAAATTTACTCGACTGTAGGTTTTCACGGGCTAGTCTTGTCGATCTGGTCATTGCAAATGCCTGTCGAGCGAAAAATTAACTAGATTCTACGATTGTTATCCAAGAAGAATTGTTAAATTTCAGATTACAAAGTATGACAACTCGTCTATGAGACAGAAAATCAACGAATATCCAACAGATGTAGCTCAGAGAATTCATCAACAAAACACTATCTATAATGTTACCAAAAATAGGTGAGTTCTGTAGAAATACTCTGTTCATAATTAAGAACACTTTTGCAGATGGCATGCTTTTCTCATCTATTTTTGATATTCCATTAATGGGATCTCAGATCAGAACCCAAACCTGCACCGGAATGCAGTTGATGTCCCAAGCAAATCACATTCAACAGCCCATTAAGACATTCACAGAGATGGGATGGGCTAAGACAACAATAGAAATTGAAAATGAGTTGCTCTATTGTCAAGTGTCATCAAGATTGTTTACGAACCGTTACTCCCAAAGAGAAGCAATGTTGAGTCAAATGCATGCATTCCTGTAACTCCTTGCTCCACAAAGTAGTTAGGGACCAAATCACTGGAAAATACTAGGAAAAACAGTATTGAGCATTACTACGATTTATGTAGCAGTTCTTCATCCCTTAGCCAGATCTGAACCACAGGTGAACTGTCAGAAAAGATCGTCACAAACCTTTCCAAGGATACTGACATAGCGAAGTGTCTAAGAATCTGATTGGAGAAAATCTCGGATTAGTTGAAGAGTTTGTGGCCGAAAAAAAGAAAAAGGAAAAAAAAGAACATGGCTTAAAACAGAAAAGAATGAAATAACACCACATATTCTCATGGATAACAATCTAAGGATCACGATTCTGAATCCCAGAAATCGCGAAACTCACAGACATATTAGGCTAAAAATCAATCTCCAGTTTCAATCTGAGGATGGACAACAAGGCTAAAGGCGATTTCATGAAGAACTGACTAATCTAAGGATCAGCCTATCATTAGGAAATACACAAACCAAAAAGTGATTCTATCCCACGTGAATGTTAATTGTTCCATTTCAGCCGTTTAGTTCTGTTTGCCTTCCTCCATACCAGCTGCACTCCGAAGAGAGTCCTACAAGATGTCCCACGAAGAGCCCAAGAACTCAATAGAGGAAAATCCCGGCAAGGTGGGTTACATTTTCAAACAAGGTTAAGTTTTTGGTTATAATACGTGTCGAAAAGAGAGTACTGCTAACGACCGCCAATGTAGGTTTGATCACAAGAAAAAAAGTATCCGAACAGACCTTCTTGACTCATCGATTCTGTTACTGATTTCTATCTTCGTGAAGCTCTAAATGAATAACGAATAATCAATCTGTCCTATTCCTGTAGTGGCGGATCAAGAGGGAGGAACGAAATGAAAGCGATCCACATTGGTTGCAGAATTGTGAAAAGATTGTTTGTACTTGTAGATTTGTCTTGAATATTCTAAAATTCAGCTTGCTTTGAATAAATATTGCCCTCAGCGATCTGCTGAATTTGATCCACTGAAGTAGAAGTGAATATACATTCGTATGATCTATAAATAGTAACTAGTAATATGAAGGGTTCGTTATGTCTGTTTCTCCAATTTTACAAAGTTTTCACATCCATAATTGTCGCAGGACTCTTAGCCACTATTTCCCAAAAATCATCCGAATTTTATTCTCCTTTCGTATGACAAAACAAGCTTCGTTTAATAGGGCGAGTCAACATTTTGAAAAATTTCGAGCAAACAAGCGAAAGGATTTTCTAGAGACTCAACGTAAGAATAATGTTTTAAGAAAACTTCCTTTGCAACTGCCCACTACTATGTAGATTATTACTTTCGACAAAAGTTGAAGGTCATATACGCTTTAGGTAACAAAAAACCTATGAACTCAACAAGCAGAGCAAGGAACTCAGAGATGTGAAAATGAAACCTTCGGAAGCGAAAACCCCAAAAAATTTATTTCTAATCTAGAGCATATGATATTACCGCTGAAATTCGTCCTAGTACATCGTGAGAACATTTTTGATTTTGGTTGTGGATTCGTATGAGTCTTTCACATTATCGTTCGACCTTTCATTTTTACTGATAAAATACAATAAAAAATATTGGCATTTGGAGTACCGTGTCCATAGCGATAGAAGCGTAGAAGTGGCTTTTCGGTTTAATTCTTGGCCTGAAACATTACAAGTTACGGGTTCTTCTGTGAAAAAGATCAAAGCTCCATGCAGGTAGGAAATTTTTGTATGTTATTTCATTCAATTTTGAATATGAAGCAGCTCCCCTATATGTAAAAAAAGCGTTTTTGAATTTCCTTATCTGGTCCAAGGCTTGTGACTATACAACAATAGTAAAAAACTGCTTCGTTTTGCTCCACTTTGAATTTTATACTCCATAACTTCAGCAACTTGACGAGAAGGAAGCTATCTTTGCTATATTAAAGTTAAAGCAATGCTTCCATTCTATTTTCTTTCATCACGGAAAAAAATGTTGAAGTGAATCTACCTGGAAATAGTTTCCTGCTACTGGATTGCCCAAACCGTTGTCTTTGACAAATTTGTGGGTGTCAAAGCTAGAATCAAATAGGGCATTACAAAAAAGCGTACAGGATTGGTAGAGTTCGAAGAATCAAAAAACTTGCTTTGCTCTAGCTGATTTTTCAAGCGATACCGATCTTGTCTGTTTATAGACGAGGAAGTAGTATCGATGTAAACCTGCGATATTTTTGCTACTAGAATGCTTGACTGGACGAGTTTTCAGATTACCTGTTCCAGAAGGTGGGGCCGGTCCCATGTATGAGACAAGTTCTTTGCCCTGTTTTACATGACTTCCGGGGACATCTATCACCACCCAATGTAGATAATCGCGAAGCGACGGTCTTTTGCGAGATGGAGCATCAGGATCTGATATAAATGTTATTTTCAAAAGTGCTTTTATATGGAAACAAAATCAGTGTAAATTCAGTACCACATCAGGAAGAACGTTATATATTAGGTTGGAAACTAAGTTTTGCAACTGGTCTCATAACTTCCCTCACTCAACATGGCGCACTCAAATTTTGCCACTGCGTTGGTTATTACGTAAGCTACAAGCGCAGCTGCTACCCTACCAAATTCTGACGTTGCAGTGAGGGTTACGGTAGTGCATGGTATGAAGGGGAAAAGTTCAAAGTTTGACGGATTTGGCTGAAACATGGCATAGGGGTGAGGGTGTACGATATGGGGTCTCACTTTAAACAAGTAAAAAGGTGTTGATTCAACAAATGAGTGTGATATTCGCGTTCGGCAGGTCAAATAACCTTACAAAGTGAAGTCTCGGCGGAATTTGAGCTTCGGACTCTTTAGTCATTGACGGTCGTCCCCAGCAGCCCTTGCGTACGTCGGTTCGACTTTATGAGGACGCCAAATCTTAACATGCCCCTGAATTTTGTTTCTTTCTTAATAGGCCAAAGGAGTCAAGCTCCAGCAATAATTTATAGACGAATCCGGATTACTGCGCATGGTCTAGGCTGCCAAAGGCTTCATTCTAGCTTGAAATCTCAAAAATTCTCAAATTTCACTAGCTTTCGAAAAACGCTTGAATCTTTCCCGAAAATTCTCAAATTTCACTAGCTTTCGAAAAACGCTTGAATCTTTTCTATTTCGTATTCAAATTTAGACAATTTGTGCTCACGTGTAGCTCACATTGCCTTCTACATAATGCCAAAGTTTGAGTGCGCCATATCCAAAGAGAGTGAATTTGTGAAACCATTTGCAAAACTTAGTTTCCAGCCTAATATTTTTCACCATTACGAGTTTGGTTTTTTGCTTTAGTTAAACAAAAGCAACTTAAGTTTTACAGTTTATGTTATAGCATTTTGGGCCAACCCTAAGCTTAGCTATATGAAAAATTTTCAAATTACAGCGTACCATAGTCTGTGAAAACATTACGCTAAAGTAAGAGAACATATTTCTTGCTTTCCGCTAACTAACAAATAATGACCAATTCATCATCTCTAAATAGTTCAATCAAATCTATTAGGTTGTCCCGAAAGTTTTGTCCGTTTTTGCAACCTATCATAAACGCGTGGAACGAAGATAGGGAAACGCTCTAAGCACCATCCGACGCATCTTTTCCTTCTCTTTCTAACTGTCATGATTCCATGCCGATTAATCTTTTGTTCACTGAGATAAACGCCAAAATTTCGAACCCATGGTTTTCACTATGTCCAAGTTTGGCAATTTTTCACGATCTTTATTTTTGACTTTCGAAAAAGCTTTGGCAACAGTTAAATAGATCAAACAAAGGGCAATATAATGCAATTTCGCGGCATCTATAGCCAGCCTTGAAAATTTTTTAGTATTTTTTCTCTGATGCGATGCCATCAAATTCCACTTTTGGTGATGCCAAAAGACAGAGATCATGAAACGGCGTACAACTAAGGTGTTATTCGATGCAGCTTTTCCTCCTCTTTCCAGTGAGTGTATTTTCTCTCCAATTTGCCGGGTCTTTGGCGATAAAATTTTCATAATTCTTGAATTTGACCACACCCCAGCGTGTACACGTAAAATGCAAAATCTTATATTTCGAAGCGGTAAACGCTCATTTGCTTCGTAAAAATAGTGAATAATCGTAATCGGTTTTTGAAAGCTTCAAAATCCGATGATTTGTTAGTGTTCGAGGCGTTTCTGTATTTTAGAACTTCGCAAAAGTGAAGAATTTTGAAAAAAATATCGTTAAAAATATTGAAAAGCCAGCTAGATATGCCAAATAATTGCATTGCATTGCCCTTTGCTTACTCTATCTGAGGCCTATCAAAGGTCTTCCAAAAGTTGAAAATGAAGATTGTGAAAAATTGTCAAACTTGGACATAGTAAAAACCATGGGTTCGAAATTTCGGCGTTTATCTCAGTGAAGAAAAGATTAATCGGCATGGAAGCGTGACAATTAGAAAGAGGAGGAAAAGATGCGTGGGTAATGCTTAAAGCGTTTTTCTATCTTTGTTTCACGCGTTTTTATGATAGGGTGAAAAAACGGACAAAACTTTCGGGACAACCTAATAATAAAGGATGTAATTGACAACGCTGTCACAAAAAACCAGGTCAATAAACTGTACGTCAAAGAATTATAAACGTTTGTAAGTAATGAGCAAGAGTAGACTTGTTTTAGTTTAGTGATAGTCAGTGTTGCATAATTTAGCAAACGCTTTGCATCTTTTTTCATATCAAAAACAACTCACCGACCATAATGACAGTGTACAAAGATTCCGGAGATGCATTCCAATTTAACGTTGGCTTAGAAGATGTAGCAGATGGAGATAGTTCATTTCCCAGAGAAACCTATACTTGATTGAGAATGAGGAAAATTCATTACGGTATCAGATGCAAAAAAAGATATAATCAAGCAAAATTTCTGACCCAAAACTGTTCTTTATTGTGATTTGATATGGGGTGATATTGTTGAATGTGGCAGTATAACAATGCAAATAAGAAATAAGCAATGCTAAAACCATAATAAAATTTCTCCTCAAGGTAAATGTAGTCAAAGTGGCTGATCATATAATCACAATATTTTCGACTACTTTATGATCTTTCCTTGGTAATCAATAAAACAGGGGCCTCAGACTGGAGATGATCTGATTCGATTTCACGCTCCTATTTCGAGGCAAGAATTTAGAGGATGTATCGAGGAGGATTTAATTTCTACTGGTATTCCCGCAGTAGAGAACGGCCTTGGTTAACCGCCCGGCCTGCCTTATTATTTCTTGACTTGAATTTGCTTTATTCAGCTTACTTTTATGAAATTAAACAAGTTGAAAAAGCAACCTTTTTGCCGCCATCGAAGGTGACGTCGAGCTCTGGAGTACCCGGCTGAATATATTCGTCAGACATGCAGATATGTCTAAAACATTGTAAAATTTTCGGTCAAATAGAGTCATAAGCAAGATGTATACCTTGTAAGAATGGCAGTAAATGTAACAACAGAAAATCGGAAAAGCATGATTTATACAGCACAGAGAGAAGTTCTGCAAAACGCTAAGAAATTTCGGAAAACGATGAGAGAAGAAGGGCTTTCACATATAAAAAGTGCACAGCGCTAGCAGAAAATCGGCCAACGCAGCTAGCGATCAATGAGGAGAAACGAAGAGCGTAGTAGTGGAGGAGAACAACAAAGAAAAAGGTCTTACTACCAGTTCTATGCTACGAAATAGCACACAAAGAATTGCTGTGTTCGATGAGAATGGGTTGGATTTGTTGGCTGTGATCGTTCTTTCAAACCATAGAGCTCATGATTATTCAATCAATGGGCTGTGGTCGTGCCTCGGCATACGAAAAGAAGACAAAAAATGAATTTTGGCTATTGGTAAACTTACTGTTTTCCTATCCCTTCGTATTTTTCCTTTTCTACATTGTATGTCAGTTTTACCTAACTTATAAGTAACTAAACTAGGGACAAAGGCAAACGCTGGAATTTAGCAACCAGTAGCTTTCTAACAGCGAAGCAATGCACTCACTTTTTGCTCGAGCATACTGCACTTGCTGACGCATGACAAATAAGCAAAACTTCTAAGTTTCCGTTTCGTTCCTTTTCTTAGGGAACTGATTTCTAGACCCTCTCCGGACTTTTTAGTAAGGAGAGAAGGCTACATTTGGATGAAAGATTTTCAAGAAAAATGTGACTCTCTCAAATATTTCGATGTTTCTTCTGTGGTACGATTTTGAATGATGTAGTTATGAGTTTTTGTACTGCATTCGTTTTAGAATAGATCATTTACAATACTGTCTTTTATTCTTTGGTTGTTCGTAACTTATATGCGTGCATAATTTGTAAGATATCATAATTCTGATTCTAAAAGTTTTGTAAATTTGTGGTTGAATATGTTGTAAACATAAAATATGAATGGATTTCGTTGGTATTTAAGAAGAGAAGATGTCAATTGTAATTATATCCTAGATTAATATTCTTATGTTCAGATTTCCTGCAAATTACAGGACTCTATGAGGTGCTCCATGCGTGTTTAAAGTTGTGTATTTTAGAAAAAAACGGTTCCTTAAACATTTATCTGATTTTGGCAATATTCCAAAAAAAATTTCACTCTTACAATATAACTTTTATTGATTTGATCAAGTAGTAAGTTTCACACGTAAAACGCCAAAGTGTCATCATAGACCGGTATAGCATAATGATTCTACGGTATCTAATTTCGCTTTGATTTGTATCCTTGACATAGAAAATTCGCTATCATTAACTGAATACAAATTCCTCTTGATGCCCTTTTTCCAACTTCTGGGCTTCATTCGCTTTGGACCGGTAACTTCAGACTCAGCACATGGGATACAAAAATGAACCATTTGCAGATTGGACTCGGAACGAATTTAATTTTGAAGTCTAAGTTCGTTCCGAGACCATCAGCAAATGGTCTTTGCATCTCGTACTTTCTTTTCGGAATTCTGAATTTGGCGTATCTGGCTGCAATACTTGGCCATAGAAATTGTTATGAAGTTATAGGACATGTCTACCCATGCCCTATTATTTTATTTGATTTAGATAAATCTGGAAGGTTTGGATAAAATTAGTCAGCATGTCACAAAATTCCAAATGAAATGTCGGCTTTTCACTCGTTAGGTGTTCTTTTTCTGTGATTTAAGAGTTCAGGAACTTCAAATTTCAAAGTTTCTTCAGAGGTTCAGTAAGGAATGAGATGATTCAACGGGAACAATGAAGCGACTGTTCAAACGAATTATAGCAGGACTTATAAAGTTACTGCCTATCTTTGTTGATTTCTGCGGGTTATTTACACAGACTGTAATTTATGAATGGAATACTACTATCCCGTCCTAGTGTGGTACTCTTACAAGAAATAGTGCATTGTTATTGCCATTGTTATGTGTCATCACTTCCTGAAAAAAGTGGTCTGACGATTAGTGCAATGCAATCCAACCATCTGGCGTTTGGCCCTGACGTACAAATATAACACTTTTTCATGTTTTTCTCAGAAGGTCAGTCTTCTCATAGTACAATGACGATAAAAGAAGAACGACGAGTAAACAAAAAAATTGAGTTATATAGGATAACAGATACGACAAGTGCGCAGTCGGCAACATATTCAAGCTAATTAATTTAGCGTAGGAGGAAGCACAGTTATAAGACATATTTTCATCTTATCTTATATACTTTTTGTATTTGCACTCCAGATATGCTTTAAAACAACCAAGAAATGACTGAAAGATGAGACCAGCTTGTCCTAAATGTGTCAAAAGCATTCAGTAACAAAAAGAGCGCATGTTTCAAATAAAGCAATGTCACGACATTATAGAAGAATAATTGAAACCAACTGGTTATCGAATGAAGAACGGTGATGTTCAAAAATGAAATTGAATATAAAATTCTTGGATTGGAACATAAGTCTTGCATCAAAAATTCCAAAAAAAATTCAGAAAGGTTCAGAACAGCGTTTCAACTTGTATACTAGTTTTTTTCGTTCTATATGATTTATGCACTATTTTTCATATACATTAGAGACTTCATTTCGAACAGCATTTAAACTGAAAATAAAATTCGAAAAAATAAGGAATTCTTGTAGAGATGTCCTATGAGCACAAATTCATGTAGTTAAACAGAGTAGATCATAAAACTCGAATGAAAAGTAGATTCGGAAATTCTTGGGCCTTTCAGCATTTTTTAAAACCAATGTTGGAAAAACGAAATTTGAGTGTTTGTATTCAATAGGTTCTGCTGTCGTAATATGATCCATGATGATTGCTGTGACAATATTCAGAAAGGATAAAGTTTTCTCTTTCTAGATCAATTTATTTTAAATATATAGATTGAATCCCTAGGAGAATATGGAGTTTTGAAAAATTTTAATGCAAGAGTTGTGTTCCAACGTATGTGCGAAAGGGAAGAATCCTTCAAGTAGACATGTCGACAGCCCAATTGCCTTTTGAGATTTCATATGGTTCTTTTGAAATGAGCTTTGGAATAACTATGGAAGTGAAACACTATCGTTATCGCATGCTTCAATTTCAACACTTTGATCCATTCCAACAATTTTAGTAACTTTGAGGACCAAGCTGCCGGTGGGTACTCTAATCTTACCCCTTGGATTGACTCTACTGTAACTAAATTATCGGGCTCATCAAGATGAATCAGCAAGCTCAGGTTAGAGTTTGACGGACTAACCATACTTTCAGCGTGTCTTCTTTACAAAGATGCTCTGAGAGCGTTCCACAATGCCAAATAATAAAATTACTCAAAATCGTTATGTCAAAACACAAAGTTATTTACAGCTATGAAATGATCAGCATGCGCAACAATCTTTTATACGTTCGACGTATTCGAAGGCAATGGCATTTTTTACTTTTTACCCTCACTAAGGTCATAGAAATTACTGTGCATCCAATCGTGGAACACCATTGAAACTTGAATATGTCTCAGCGATGATAAACTTGCACATTCAATCGAATTTTCTACACAAGCTAATATTAACTACTAAATTTTTATGCTAAAACGACGTAACTGATATTCTGGATATCCTATTTCTTTGCGGACTTTACTCAAGTGCTTGATTTTTTTGTGCAAAACAATATTTTTATTTCTTATTAGGACCGTTCTAATACCAATCATATCATCCCTTACGAGTGTCAAGAACATCATCTTTGCAGAAAAGGCCATGCCGGCAATAGGTATATCAATATGTCTAAGTATAACGTGATCTCAGTAAAAGCCTGAACTCTGGATTTAACCTTGCACCTTTGAGAATGAAAGCATAATACCAGAAAATTTCCATTTTGCGGGCTTCCTAGATTATCAGTAATGAGTCAGACTAGACTATTGAAACGTTATCCGCCCTACCATTGGTCTGTGGAGCACGGCAAAAATCAATCAATAGCCTGTATTATCGAAAAAGAAATTGAAAATTTGCTGCTTGATGAACCTAACACTGGGCAATCAAATTGGCCTATTTCGAGGTCGTAGTGTGAACGATTAGTTCTATGGAGTTTTTAAACAGGGAAAATTTCAGAAAGGAAGAGCTTACTGTGAATTTATGACTTTTTCCAACTCTCATTGCCACCAGAGAAAAATGTCACTCCAAAGATATTTTACGATCTTTCTTTCACTTTGGAATCCTCTAGCTTTTCATGCGCTTGGACCAACAGAAACCGCAAGGATCACATCATGGAAACCTCTATGTAAATTACTGTAAATAGTGCAATGGTCCGTAGAGTCCAATGGTAGCCCAACCACCCTCGTGTGTCCTTCATAAAAAACATACGAAGCCAAGCTAGCATGAATCATCAAAATTCCGTATTCCCACTAATCTTCACTGTCCTTGAGTTCAACTGCATACAAAGAAAACTTATTGCTTTGATAATCGTGCAAATTATTGAAAACACGTATATAATGACACCTTCAATTTTTGAAAGCTTGCTCATTCAGCACAAAGAACATCGAAAGTCATTTATACGCAAATTCGAAGGACTATTTAAAAATGTGACGTAGAAAAGGAGAAAATTCGTCACAAGGTTACGCAAAGGACATTATGTAAAGAACCTTATGGAGGATTTCAGACATTTGGGAAAAAAAGAAAGAGAAGGTTAGAGAATTTACTTGTTGATTTCAGCAGAGATATTGGTAGATATGGTTTGAAGCTTCTTCACACAGAAGGTTGTCAAACCTCAGAATCGAGTGAAGTCTGGCTAAAAAGTTGCTATTGAATTTAAAACCTCTTCATAATCAGAAAGTGCTGAAAAATTGAGGAGAATGAGCGTTAAAAAAGCAGCAACCGATCTTAGCGATAGAGCAAGAAAAATGAGTCTAGCGCCGAAACTGAGGTAATATGCCGCATTTATCCAGGAACTATGACATATCCAAATCAATGAATCTAACTTGCAGTAACACCGATATTCTTCGAAGAAAATCATATTTTCAGGAAGTAAGCACTCTCAAATGTGAAGACGCTCATTAAATTTTTTTTATTCACGGAACATAAGACATCACTGACAATCGTCGACTATACAGATTTTAAATAGCGATTACATAAATCGCCGTTGTTTTTTCGCTTAATTTTTCTTAAACCAACACAATAACGATAATAACACTATTTATGCATGGCCAATGGTTCTGTGTGGACACGTTAGTTATCCAGGGTCTTGTCAACGGCGAGCTCCATAGTGAACACTAGTCGATGCGAAGATCTAAATTAGGAATTTGAGAGCGTAAATTTAGGTCTTTGAACGAAAATATAATGATTGCTGACTATTATCTGTAGCAGAAACCATTTAGGAAAACAATATACGCTTCAAAATTGGATAGTTTTATTGATTGTAAAATTGTCGTAGAACTGCCTTGTGCTCATTTTTTAACCATCAAGTTGCTAACCCACATCCCTTTCAATATTGTATGTTTGAACGGAACGAACTGCAGCAAAATCGGGTTTAAGCCACTTGATTCACATTTTACTCAAGCAATTAATTATAACTGCTTCCTTAGAATGAAAGTATACCATACTGCGCAATGCTATAAGAAAAAAATGGTTTTGATTTAATTTGAAAATCTGACACTCTAGATTTCCTCCCTGCTTATTTCGGGAAAAGGTGTAAGATCCAAAAATAGAATTTAGCAGCCAGGAATCTAACGACACCCATACTTTGGTCCCCAAGCTTAATTCAAAGCACTTGATACACCAGTTATGTACTCCTAAGCTGAACTTGATGAGTATCATTCCTGAGGCCTTGGTGAAATAGCAGATTGAATACTGTAATCGTTAGTGCAGCGATTACGAAAAAATTACAAAATCGATTTTTTAAATTTCTGCCAAATATTTTTTCCACTGTCAGGACATACATTTAACCTTCCATAAGGTATCAGACAGAATTAGGATAAATAGTCAATCAAGAGTGCTGTTCTAATGCTAAAGAACAAAGGAGCATACCACATAAGACCAGGAGAACGAGTTCACAGACTGAGCGATCAGAGCCAAATAGAAGTTTCCTTGTCATCTTTGATCACTTGTTCACTATGACAAATCACCCATAACAATTCTTAACGCGAAATCCCATTATTTTTGCTCAAACCACTAACCCAGACCGCTCCTAATGTGAACGGTAATTTGCTGTTTACCCCTCTGGCAAAATCGCCATTATGTTGATTGTCAACTGTGGATTTGACTTTGAATCGACAATTTTACTAAGCGCTACACATCGGGCATATCAATTTATGATGAAAATGACTTACATGTATGACTGCGTTAAAGTTGTTTTGAATGTCCTTGCAGCAGAAGTTTACCTTTTGAGAAAGTGAAATATGGGTGGACTGAAAAAGATATTTTCAAAATTGTAAGGGGGCTAGTGGATAGCCATGACTCACCCTTTGTGACACGTGGGTAGTATCGTTTTTCAAATCCAAAGCCCTCACCCTCTAACGAGTTTAGAGCTCTTTTGTCAAAACCAAAACCTTCGCCTTCGATGGAATTTAACGAGCGCTTGTCGAAACCGAAACCTTCGCCCTCAAGCGAATTCAGCGATCGTTTGTCGAACCCGAAACCTTCGCCTTCGATGGAGTTCAGCGACCTCTTGTTAAACCCGAATCCTGTCCCGTCGAGTGAATCCAACGCTCGCTTATCAAATCCGAAGCCTTCACCTTCCAATGAGTTGAGCGATCTCTTGTCAAAGCCGAAACCCGTGCCGTCGAGCGAGTTCAGCGAACGTTTGTCGAAGCCGAAGCCAGTTCCGTCCAGTGAGTTCAGTGACCTTTTATCGAATCCGAATCCTGCACCTTCGAGATCATCCAGCGCTCTCTTCTTTTTGCTAAAGCCAAATCCGGCACCTTCTATACTGTCGAGTGCCCGCTTTGTGCGACCTGGAACGAGCAACTTTGTCGGATGGGTCCCGACGCGTCGCGCAGAGCTGGCTTGTAAAATAACTCACTCGCTTGTCTGCTGAAACCACCGAAACCAGTGCCTTCAAGATCATCTAACGCGCGTGGGATGTGCTTCGCGTCTACCAGAGCACAGAGAAGCTGCGTGCAGCCAAACAATAACTGAAAACTAGGTTGATCCAGTTTATGAACAGAGGTACAAACTGAAGAAACTGTGGATTATAAGTCCTCGTTTTGTGATCTACACAAAGCGAGAAACACTATTATCATGATATGCACACTATGAATATTAGACTAAAAGCTTACCACGAAACGAGCCAGAGAAAACAGCATGTGGGGGTACCCGATGTCGAGTAATCACTGAAGCGATAATGCACTTATATACGAAAAACACACAAAAGACTCGAAGACGTCATACGGGGGAAGAGGACAATCTCGTGATTATGAAAATACTGAATTACAGTGGCGGCAAATTTTCTTAAGGTCACTGGAGACAGTTTAGGAGATACTGAATGGGCCACAGGTGGCGCAATTGCAATTAAGACGGTATTCATGAGAATTTTGAATAAGTCGTTTGAGCCTAGGGATGAATAGACAATGGTTTTTAATCACAGGGATTTGAAGATGGGAAGAGGAGATTGGAACTGATTTTGATGGGATTTTGGAGAGCAGTAAAGGTTTACTGTGTTTCCACAATCTCTTAACCACTATTCCCAGCGGGACCGTCAGATTCATCAAAATCATCGAGTCAGAAGAGGTGAACGACCTCGGAATTACGAATGTCGATGCTGCAGAAGAGTGTGCCCGCCTCCGAAGGCGTCTGCTTTCATCAACGGTAAAGCCATCCGAAAAGATCCGAGCCGATAAGGTTCGTAGGCATTCAGAAGCCGTTATATAGGGTTCAGTGACACACACTGGTGCCTGGGGGTAGGTGGTGTTGCCGAACGGGGTGCGAAAATTAGCCTATTACTATGCGAATTCTAAATGCACAATTAGAAATGTGACAAAAAACACATCAGTGAGGCGAAGCCCCTGGGGAGAATATCGAGAGAGAACGAACGCAAGGTTCGGTTCTGAATAAAGTGACAATTAAAATTGTGGTGGAATGAGGTAGTGAGAGCCGACTCCACTGAAGCATCACATTCGATGAGCGATCTGTCACACATTCATCTTCCTCTCTCGGGAGCTGTTTGAGGACCATGCTTTTGAAAAAGCATCAGTTCCTGGAACTTGGCCCCAGATCAAAGCTAAACTTTTGCAGCTTTCAGCCAGTTAATTCGTAGAGTAAATTGCTATACGTCAAGTTATGACTGATCCAAGCACTTTTTTACGCATCGCTGATCACTGATTGTGAGTGAGAGGGAACAAAACTATGTATGTGTCCCTCCACTCTCACATATCATAGGTAAACATCCGCGCCAAAACATGCCACCTTCAGCATTTCCTTCTTCGTGGTGGGCGTTTTTGAACAAAGAGACTTTGTTGAGACGAGTACGTTTTGAACATAAAAATTAGGAGCTTGTTCCACTTTGAGCGCAAGAAATGGTAGAGAAATAGCCACGGAAGCTTTGCGAATTAGGCTGGGTAAATTACAGGGAATCTTAATTTATATCTGGATGTCAAAAGCCACATAAAAGATTTGACAAGAAAAATGCACATTCTTCTGAAGGTATAGCGTGCCGAAAGAGATGATACCTAGCCAATATACTAGCTTAGCAGACGAAGCGCATATGGAGTGTAGGAGGTGACGACGTACAACATGCGCATTGCCCTAAGGCGTAATGCCTCTGAATGTGCTCGAAAAGGGTGCTTAATATGTGTTGTAAGGAAACAACGGTGTTAATTTGGCACATGGCTGAACTACTAGTGTAAATCTAGTACAAGTAGACATATGTGAGAAGAAGAAGAAAAAGATATCTCTTCTGGTAGCGCTTCTGAAGCGAATAATGACTTCTGTGATGAAATATATAGGTCAATTGGTGATGTTTTCCGAGTACATCAGCTCGGGTGGAGTGAATGGAAATGCCAGCGGGTCGAGCTCTTTGTGATGGCCAGGCGGATCGCCAAACTCATTCGTTATCGAGTTAGGTGAATTCCGAGTACGGTGACGTAATGAGATGGACATCACTGACGTCGCGATGTCAGCCCAAACATCGCGAATTTCGTGGTCCGCCTACCAATTTGATGCCATGGACCACACAGGTGAAGGCTGGAATTTTGCTTTGCCATCTCACCCCTCCACTCCCCTAACAAGCAAGTTCTGCAATCTGAAGCTGGGAGCTGCACCCACGGACTAAAATTGGCACATGAAGTTAGCCCTAATAAAACGAGTTCCACAATTCTAGAAGCCAAAATTTAGATGTTATAAATCAAACTCAAAATCTTGCTTTTTGTAACTTTCTCAATGTTGCTATTAGACTTCCCGTAAAATCACAGTGAAATGGTCGTCGAGGGAACGATACCACAGCTTTGATATAAGGTTGAAAGTGTAGCTTTTGAGCTGAAACGTGCCAAATAGCAAAAAGAATTGCTGATTTTTTATGCCAAATAGCAAAAAGAATTGCTGATTTTTCAAAAAAGGGAAAAACAAAGACAAAAACAAATTACTGCACTGCTTTCCAGGTGTTAGCTGGCTGTTACAATTTATAATTCATGCTGATTAATTGCTCTTAGCAGATCTTGTTTGATTCACTCTTAATTAAAGGAGGCTGTGTGGTATCACATTTTTTGACTAATTCTAAAAAAATTGCGTGGTGATTTTATAGGTTCTACTTACTGATTCTTACAAAATTCTGTTTATGATGTCACCGAGTTTTTTTAACGCCAACCGTTGAGATATCACCCTTTACATAATAGGGAAGCAGATGGCATTTACCAGATTTGTTTTGAATAATTGAGAGTGTGAGTATTTGGGTTTCAAAGTTTGAGCTGAGTCATTAGCAAGTTTAGTTCGTCATTTTCACAAATGGGCCATTGGGGATTCGTCTAGTTTAATGTCAGATGTTTTGGCAATATGTAATTCAATGTTTTAAATGTTGTTCTTTACATGGATACTTCAATGGATATCGAGAAAGACTATGAGTTGGTCTGACAATGAGTGACAATTTTTAACACTTTTTAGTTCTTTTCTCGAAGTTTCTATGACTTTGAAGAGCTTAGGATAATCACTGAGCAATTCTCAAAGGAATTGAATTTGATGCAATGATCTCACCTGCACTTCCTCAATTATTCTCTGCCTGGATCAGAGGAAATCATTACTGGGAAAAAATTAATACAAGCAGCTTTTAGTGGAAAAATATAATAGGTGCTAGCTTATGAAAAGCCAACGAGCCTTAGTACTTTATAGGGTCAATTACTATGAATTCTGGTTACTGTATCAACTTGGTCCACAATATAAACAATGAAGTCAATCAACAGAAAAATGGATATTCTTATCCTAGAATTTACATTGTCAGGGATAGCCAAAATTAGTGACAAAGCTGACAATCCAATCCAATTTTGACCTCACGTTTCGGTTTTCATCCGAACTTTCTTCTTCGCTGAACTTCCTTAGATGTTGTTGTGCAATGCGAGAAATGTATTATCCCAGATTTTAAGAATTTTAATCGTAGCAGAAGTTTTCGTGGCAGTAAGTTCAGAATTTTTAATTCATTGTTTTGCAACAATGGGAAGTATATCTATAATAGAAACAGCGTTTACACTTCAAATCAAGTTAAAAAGTTTTGTTTACCAAAAGCGATCTCCCTGGTTTTGCACATGATTTTAGTATATACATTTTTACGGCTGTTCTAATGATATTTAACTGCACTTGGTTTTTTTCTCACTATCTCGATTTCACAATTTAATGCTAAAATTGCTCTTTTATCTTAATTTTTATCTTTATAGGATCGCCTACATAGAATGCCAAGCGACACGTGACAATAGGAGGAGCCACCATGCGAATATCAAGGCTTCTAACTTCTATTTCTCATTTTCTGTTGTAATTCAGCTGATAAACAAAAAAGCAAAGAGAGTACGAAAGCAAACGTCTTCGAAAGTTTGCCGAATTTTATTCATAACGTCAACGAAGGATCTTTGGATCGGCTAGTATTTGACGCTAAGCCGCCAACATTACATGGATCTTCTCAGCGTAATTGCCAACTATGCGAAGGCATGCTAATGAACTGAAAATTTCGTTGGGGATAAGGAATACGCATACAAAGCGATAGATACGATCAAACTGCATACGAAATGATCAAGAATGCTCAGAACAAACATCACTGGTCAGGCAGAAGCAATTCCGAAGCCGTTGATGTTCGTTTTGGAAATTAGAAACACGAAAAATATGAAAAGTCCTACAGCTCGGCGATTCTACTATGACCAACACAAGAGAAGCCAAAAAGAACTCAAAAAGCTTTAACTCTTAAAAATCCTTTGTGGATTCTTATTTGAATTCCTTTTTGAGCAGAGAATGAACAAAATTCATGCTTTCATTACTTGATTATAGATATGAAGGGCATTGAAGTAAGTAATTAGCAGTGATTCGCTTCACTTCTTCTAAAGTGCAAAAAAGAATAGGTCAAATCTGGTTGCGGAACTGAATATGTGGCAAAAAAGACACATTGATGAAAAGCGATAGGTTGAAAAACATTCATTTCAAATAGTATTTGATTTCTCATTCTTTTTGAGAGAGATAATAGAATTGCGAATTATAGAGAATTTGCCCAAAAACGTCGCCTGATTGAGAAAATGATAGATGTTGTGACGTTCTAATAGTTAATCAAAAGAAAAACAGAGTTTACTTTGAGCAAATAAAAGTTTATGGGCCTTAATCTTATGTCACAAGAAGAGGAAATGAACTACGTACGATTCAAATTGCTAACTACATATTTGAATGCCGCTAAATTACTCTTTGCAACAAATTCAAATCAATCAGTATTGCTGTGAATGAACTATAAAATGCAAAAATTTCTATCTTTTAATTCTTCCTATGATGTTACAAGAATAAGAACTATAAATCATAAATTGGGGTTGTGAATAAAATAATACCTGGTAATGTTCCTTATATTCTCTATCGTTAGTGCTATTCCACCAAAGTTTGATTTTGTACAATCAATCAATCAATCAATATGTGAATGAACTATAAACTGTACTGTATTTGCTTTAGAACTAAATTGAAGTATAGTTTAAGAGATCTTGATCTTGATCGCTGCATTTTACAAACCCATGGTAGTGGAGGCCACCGGTTGTCTCCTAACTTTTAGTAAGATTTCTTCTGAGATTCTGTGAATCTACTCTTGCATATGAGATTCTTATCATTACAAATCAATCTACATACTTTGTCCTAGATGAGAAAATCTTTGCATGTCGAATAAGCGTCTGT